CCTTATATTCCTTTGTACATATGGGACGTGTTGTGGTCATTGGCATTGCCACTCTACGCTAATCGATAGCACGAATTGTGTAATCCGATATCTGGTGGCTCTTTCCTCGGAAGGGTTCCACGTTTGCCGAGGGTCTTTGTAAAAGCTGACGAAGGTGACCCCTTGGTCGACCGAACAACCCAGTTAGTAAACTTGTTGAAGCGATATAAGGTATCCGTGGTCTATCAACATAATCAAGGTGGTTTTCATGGTATCGAGCTTCAAAACACGGCTGTTGCTCAAATTTTGTACAACGATATGAAGTGTTTCATCGACTCTACGACTAGTAGAGTTACCGACGATGAAGAATATCATGCAACTTACTAGTGGTTTCTAGTCTCCTGTTTTTAATTTCTTGCTCTTGTAGCCGTGTTGTGTTTCAATAAAATGTATTTGGGTTTGAAATCTTGAATAAACTATGAATGGTCTGTGTTCAATCCAGATCAGATTAATGAATAAGGTTGTAGAACGTTTGTATTGATATCTAATATTCGACAAAATTAAAGGAAAAATCAATAAGAGAAGCTTCACATTCTCTATAACACTATTCTAATTAACTTTGGCAGTAGAGAGCCATTATAGTTACTTCTAATGTAAAGGAAACGTTTTCATGAATGATAGATATAATTGGCATCTTTGAATTGCAACTTTTGTGGCTATATTCAATCACTAGCATAAAAGAAATACACGTCTTTCATGTAACACGCCTTTGGCTTCAATTTCACGCATATTAAAAAAATGTAATTAATATTATTAAGAATATAAATATCAGTTATATTTTTTCTACATTAATTGTTTACACTTTAATGTAATTTGTTGATAATAAGACACATTAAATAGAGGTATATTACAAATTTAAGAAATCAACTATGATCTCAGCAAGGAAAGTTTTAACTAATGACAACTTTCCTTTTCTACTTTTTGTAACAAGTTTTAACTATCACAAGGATTCAAGAGTGAGGATACAAGGGCGATGCTTTCAACAGTAAAAAGTAAAATATTATTAAAAATACGAAACGCGTTATGATGCTTATTCTTCGCATTAACACGTCTAAACTTGTGATTATTGATTCTCGACCTCAACGCCTCACAACGCATTACTTCTTTTAGAACATTGATTTTAACTATCGCAAGGATTCAAGAGTGAGAATACAAGGGCGATGCTTTCAACAGTAAAAAGTAAAATAATAAAACATTCCCACCCAGCACCCTCTCTCCACTATAGTTTGGCACGTATTATACAAAATTAAACACGTAACTCTATTTTTTATTATTTTCAATAAAATACTCATTGATGTGATGTAATCTAATGTGATATATAAATAATAAAAAACACGGCCTATCGATTTACTCATCATTTTCATTAGCATTAAATTTCATTTGTTATCTTATGCATATTAGGCCCCTGTTTGGTACACATTAAAATTTTCTTTCTCATTTTTCTACTCATTTTCAACCACACATTTTTCATCGTATCAATGACTTTTCTTTCTTTTTCAACCACACATTTTTTATTAATATACTATTTCAAAATAATATGGCTCAAACACACCAGTAATATATATCAATTTTTTAGCCAATTATTACAAGAAAAAGGCTNCATATTAGGCCCCTGTTTGGTACACATTAAAATTTTCATTCTCATTTTTCTACTTATTTTCAATCACACATTTTTCAATAAAATAATATTTTCCATCATATCAATAACTTTTCCTTCTTTTTTAACCACATATTCTCCATCAACCTGCTATTCTAGAATACATTTTTCCAAAATAATGTGGCTCAAACACACTCTAGGGTCCGTTTGATTGATAAAAGTTAAAAGACCTTCCAATTCCATATAAGCTAGAAAATAAAAATTCAAGTACCCATAGAAATACATTTTCCATGGAATTGACAAAAAAAAAAAAAAAAACTTAAACTGGTTATACTTTGAAATTCGAATTTCATTTCTACTTTGATATCAAAGAGAAAGTATAAATTGAATTTTTCAGATGTGACATTTGTGATGAAATTTAAACAAATCAAACAAACCTTTAGTATAGCCACGTAATCATCTTGACGTCCTATTTTTAGTATGTCAAAATTTTCGTCTATAAATTCAAGCATTCGACAATTGTTTCTCTTTTAATAATAATAATTGTCACAACAAGTCAAAAATTTATGTATCAGGTTTTCATTTCATGAACATTTAACATAAGTTGGATCAGATCTTGCAGAATCTAAATCTACCTTCAACATGGTCCCCACATGAAAAAACAAAAATAAAGTTACTCATCCATCCGTATGCACATGGACGGGAACCAAGAAAGAAATAGG